CCTTTAGAGGCGAGGTGCTGAACTGATTTTTCACGCCACTGCGTACCGTACCGAGACGCGAAGCTTTCAGGCGCTTTTCGATCAGTGGATCGCTGGCAAACAGCGACTTAATAGTTTTTCGCTGCAAATGCACATCCTGCAATTTCTTTGGACTACGATGCGGTGCTAATGTTGCCGCTGCTGGCGATGACGATGTTGATGACTGTCTCCTGGCAACACGCGCTGCACGTGCCACCGAATTACGACCGCTTGCGACTCGTGGATCAAGCATTCGCCTCAAAAGGGGCACTGGACGCGAAGGTGATGATACCGAATCTGGAAAAACGGCACAGAGTGAAAATCATACACGTTGCTAGCGAGTTTTTGAGCTCTCACGATAAGATCTGAGCTTGTACATTCCAATTGGAAATAAGGGAATTATTCAGTAAGCAAATAAAACAAACAAAACAAAAGCACCTTCCTCCCCTCCCCCTTCCTCCTCTTCCCTCCCTATAATTCACTCTGTGGGAGAGACTGATGCACTCGGAAGTAGCTCATGTGACAGCACGTATAGACAGTAATCATGCGCTGGCGATGGTTCCAAATAACATGTATAAGCAAACTGTTGGTGGTTCTTCTACCAGGGGCAGTACTATTCTGCCATCGGAACGAATGAAGGTATTATTGAGGGATTGGTTTTCCCCACTGGCGGAGTACAGCCCTCGATCTGCACTACGACAGCAGCGCTACTTGCCACTGTATCATGCCTGTCAGCTAGCAAACAAACAGATAAAAATAAACATGAAAATTTCGACAAATAAGTCTTCGATTGAATGAACAGTGCAAGCAGGCAAAGAAAAAAACTAAACCGATGCAAAACAAAAATGCGATAAATTACCGCGAGGGGTATCGTGGTCCTCGTATGGCTCTCGTCTCGAAAGCAAGAAATGCTCATCCTGTCGCAGGCTTCTTGTTCTTGGCCTCGGAGGTGTCTTTGCTGTCTTCTTCCTCAAGCTGCAAAAATTACTATTACTGTACAATTCAACCCACCTCTCTCCATTTTCTTCCTCCTAATCCAGGCTGAGAGCAAAGGGTATTCATAGCGTACAGTAAAAACGAAGAAAGAGGAATTTATAAATGTGATAGTAGCACTGAAGACAAAACGAGAATACAAGCCAAATTTAAATCCACAAACATTTTGGTCGCGAAACAAATCGAAGACAAGGAAAATTTGTGCTTCTTCGTTTACTTTTCCAAGGCATAGTTTGAGGAGAGGATTTTTAGTCCACTTCAGCTGCAGAAAAAGCGCTAAAAATATCCCTCATTTTCGGCTTCTATCACTGGCATCTTCTTTTTGATAAGAGAGCCTGCAGCGGTCACGAAGCGGTAACGTTCAGGACGAGATCGTGGTACTCAACAAAACAAGGGCGATTGAAGAAAAATTTTACGAAGTGCTTCTTTCGGGAGAACTTCGGTAGTTCTTTGGGAAATAGAGCTAAAACGACTGGGCTGCCAGAAAGATGACCACCAGCCAATGCAGAACTAGACAAAGCAACTGGAAAAACTGCGAGCTGCATAGATGAACGGCCGGATGATGTTCCAGTTATTGAAATTATCGATGGCATTGAAGCGGCACTGTGTTTCTGTCACTGACGCGCTGCTGATCTGTTCCAGTGACTGAGCCAACAACCACGCCACCGAGTTGAGCTCGCCTCATCTGCGGTACCCCGTATAATCGAGTTAGCGGATCGGACCAGCGCATCGGTGGCCTTCCTGCTGGCCTTTTTACACGTCGTGGGTACCAGTCGATAACGCGTTTCGTCCATCTTTTGTTAATCATTCTAGCTACGTGAACGGTCCAGCTTATTTTGCTTGCATACATCTCGTCTATCATATCTTTCACCCCAAAATGCAATCGAAGCTTATTGTTGCATATACGTTGTGCTCTGTTGACACCCAACATTCGTCTCTCCATTGAATGTTGCGTAACAGCTAGTTTCTTTTCTTCTGCAACAGTGGTGCTCCATGTTTCGCATCCATAAAGCAGCACAGGGAAAACGGTGATACTGAAGAGCTCTGCCTTTACGTAAGATGATGTTCGCTTGTCTGAGAAAGTCTGGTGAATGCCATTCACCCAGCTCTTCTATTCATTTCCGTCTGCAGGTTGCCGCCCACTTGTATCGTCTGCCCTGAGTAGATACATGTGCCTACTAGCTCAACTTCCTGAGCGCCTAGTTTCATGGCGAATTGCAGACAGTATGCATTCTTCATCCATTTTAGTTTCCCCGTTCTGGACTTTGAGCCCTTTTTTTGTTAATACTACCGTTCTGCTTAGTTAGCAGATCCTGTAGCGTCTGTGGATTTTGTGCTATCTGCACCACATCATCCGCAAAAAGCAGAATTCGAAGTTCTTCACCGTCTATTTCAAAACCCTTTATCATCTTCATCTTCCGTAGAACTTGCTCCAGTGCACACATGAAGGCTTTAGGGTAACATAATGTCGCCTTGCTTCACATCTTTGCCAATCCCAATTCTTATTGCATCATCGAATAACGTTATTTCCGTGTGCCAATTGACTAAAGTCTTTAATAATTAGCATATATACGTTCTCAACGCCTTGCTCCGTAAGAGACTATAAAACGGCGTTGTGCTTCACAGAGTCGGAGGCCTTTTGAAAGTCAATGAAGCACAAGGATACTTTGTATTCCTTGCATCGCTCGGCTGGCTGTGTGACTGTAAAGATGTGACCAGTGGTCGAGAATATTGAAGCGATATTGGAAAGGAAGTGGAGATAAAATCCTCGGCACGGCTGTACTACATTATTTGCAAGAACGATGGTGTAGCCAGAAAACACAGGCATTCCTGTGAACTAGTGAAGAGAGTATGTGGCCTTGAGCAAATGCGTGGAATTAAGCTCAATTCGGTGATGTATTCGAGAATACAGTGAAAACCAGAGCACTGAAAGGAACAGAAACGGAAAGATGGAGTTCTCGCAAACATGCATCTGGAACAGTTTCTGTTTGTACTCCGGTTTCCCAGTTATGTTATGCAACAAGCAATTTTCCTGCAGAAAAAACACTGGTATGAAGAAAACATGTACAGGTGAGTTTTCTTTAACCGTAGCGAGATCCGTAGATGTTCAGCTCGAAGTGGAAACATCGTAAAGCACCAGACACCGACGCCTTTGTGAAGTCTTCGATGTAACTGATGTAATAATTGAGTGTGCTACTGACCCCGACGTATGTTTTGTCTTCTCATGGCACATGGATCTTCCGACAGAGGTACTCGGCTGAGCTTTAACCGCTTCGAGATGTGCAGCATAGAGGAAACTTTGGGAAGCATCAAACCGCACCGCAACGCAAGCACGCCCATGCGGACAGGGCAGTGCCAATTTTTTTCCCCAGGGCTAAACCCCTCCCATTCCTCTCACTGGCTAAAACATTACTGGCAATATATGGCATGTCCTTCGTGCCGGAAGAAACTATAAATAGCAACACGCACCAGACTAGCCGGTGTGATCATGCATTTTGCGCAATTCAGTCCATCGAATGATTGCCTATTAATGATTTTCACTGCTTTGCACTTTTGTCTATGCAAAAATAGTTCAAGCACTGGAAAACAGTTAAAAATTTCACGCACCAGCGCATGAAAGCTGAATTCGAAACCTTGAAGGGTGAAGGTGCTTTCCAAGTTAATAGTTTAGCCGACAAAATTCTCACGAGGCCGTAGGTGATATTCAACAGAGCGGGAACGCTGAACTTGAACGGGCAAGTTTGGGCGTTGGTAGGGGGTTATTACTCTAAAATTTCAGCCCCCTAGACTCCGTGGTTGCTGACATACTAATTTACCCGTAAAAAACTTTCATGGGGCCGTACGTGTTGTCCGCGGGTACGGGAAGGCTGAATTTAAATTTGCCGCGTCAACCGTTAGTGGGGAACACTATACCGAAATTTCAGCCGCCTAGCTTTTGTGGTTCCCGAGTTGAAAGTGCGGGACAAAA